CTTCAATGCCTGGAAGGTTTGCAATAATGTTTTATAATCGTTTACATTCAGAACGGTTAGGTGAGCAAATACATGGGCAAAGCAGTTGATTTGTTTGAGAATTGGCTCCGCATAGATGAACCAGGCTACCTTTCATGAAAGTTTCGTATCCCAATAAGCATCTTTTATCAGGAAATGATTGACGAACTAAAAAACCATGAACTCACCTGATTAACACCTTCAACGCCGTTGTTGGACCCGCTAATTCGAATCCTTTTGTCACTGTTAAGGAGCTACTTATGCAACGCTCAATAGCATTCACGGAAGTTACGTGGTCTTTAAAATAACGTACGCAAAGTGCCTCGTTTGCCTTCTTGTGTCCTTCTGCTATCGATTTCATTCAGTCGCCACCTTTGTCAGCCCTACTTTAGATATCTAAAACTTCTTGGTTCAAACTTTGCTTGTTAGATGCCGTCACTTTATATATGCGTGGGTCACATCATTTATCACGTTTCAACACGTAGCTAAAATCATATGTCATATTAGTGTGGCATTTGCTTCCCTGACAGTTTCACCTGACGTTCATGCAGCCTTGTAATGCGGACCAGATAAAAATAGCACATAAGATAAAGTAACAATTAGGGTAAAAATATGATGTGCAATTTAAAGTCGTATATGTATTTTTATATTTCTTAGAGTTCCAAAGGTATCTCACGAGGTCTCCACGGTTCTTCGAAAACTATAAGTCAAAGGGCGAGCTCGAACCGACTTTGTTGTACAGCGATGTTCGAAGCAATCTTTTTTTGTTTGAATTTTAGACGTGAACTCTCAAGTGACAAAATTGACAGTACGCGCTGTTATTCTGCTAGCAAATGCTACTATGTTTACAATATGGCCGAACAGTAAAGCGACGACATAGGTAGACGAGCTTGATATCATTATATTCCCATGTGCCGTATGCGTTCAACTACGTCTATAACGGGCTGGCACAAAACTAATCAGCGATTCCAGCTAAGCGGTCGGTAGTGCACTCCGCACTCCTTCTCAATGGACGAAGCAGAGCTAAAGTGCTTAAATAATTTTTTCTTTATCTATTTATTTGGAAAAATATGTGCTAATATATTTATGCACGAATAGGACATACGGAGCTAACATTGTATGTATTCGGTAAGGCTTAAGTGCCAGACCCACCTATTTGCGGACAGATGAAACCGTACTCTTCACATCTAGCGCATGATAACACCCATTAAATTATTATTGTTATTATTATTCTCGTCACTATTTCGGAGACCTGGAACCGTTTTGAATAATTGATTGCGAGGTGCTTCTTTTTCTTTAATGTCCTTTCTGCCTCTTGACGCTTCTTTTCAAGTCTTTTCCTCCTATTTTTTAAAGTTTCCTTTTCGTGTAATAGCGCTGAAAAAATTCGTCCCTTTACTCTACCCTTTTACAGATTCTAGCATATGATCAACAGCATCCTCAACAGTGGTCAAAAGTATACCTCGCAATACTTGTCCACACCCTTTTCGAGGGGCTTCACATTTAAATACGACGTGCTGTACCCATCTGTTTTAGCTGGCTCGTATATGATGTACACAGGATACGCATATGATAGGTTGCCTGCTTTCTAAATTTACCGCGTATATTCGGTACTAACCGTGTCCAGCCACATTTGTTGTTTTTTGACATCTCGAGTTTTCTTTTACATAAATAGGTCTTTGGAATCACTTCTTTTAGGTATAGCGTCAATTATTTCAACTGGGAGCTTAACCCTGGTGGGTCCTGCTAGAACTATCTAGACTGCTCCAATACACCTAGAAAACAGCATGATGACGTTGCAGACACTTATTAACATTAATAATTCCTATTTTCGTTGCATTTTTGCCAACTCTGGGATTTGAAACAGGGCGGCAGCATGCTTATTATTTGTGGTTACCATGACAACACACTCAAAAAGGTGCGCTTTAACTGTCCAGGTCACGTCGCTTCATGTCCACCAAGTACCTGCGTGAAGTGGTAGGAGAGTTCGCCATCGTTATTGTTATAAGAAACCCGCAGGTCCTGGATGAGGGTCCAATTTCCTAGTCTAGCTACTGCTTTTGGTTGCGAGACTTTTTCGTGTAATTTCTGCATCGTTGTCGTCCAGGCCATGGACAGATCTGTGTTTTTCTCTGCATATGGTTCCGCTGTGTTTTCCGCCGGAAAATCGTAGGAAAGCATACTTGCGAATACAAGGACTGCTTTAGTGCAGACAGTTCTCGATGCTGTGACTATCCTAATTGATATTACTTTTTCTGCCGTAAGCCAGGCCTTCCTCTTGCCTCTGTTTATTTAGAGCAATATTTGCTCATATTGGGGCAGCACACAGAACTATAGATTTTGCCACCTATAAGATGTCCTCCGACTTTCAAGAGATCCCTCATTCTACGCGTAAGTTGCGCTAGCTTAATCAGATAGATTGGCTCGCTTTTCCCGGGCCACTTGAAGAAAGCTCCGATGGTTCTCTAGATGGTTAACAGCGATCAGTATTTATTGAAAGAAGTTTGGGCTTTTTCAGGGTCGATAAAGTCTATGGCTATTTTGAAAATCTATGTGTTTTGTTAATCGGCGAATTTATTACGGTGTTCACACAAGGAATGAGGATACAACTGAAGAGGGAAGCGAAGCACATCTAATAGAATAACTTGTATACATAGAAGTTTCCTTGTGATGTCTTTATGCTTGCAGCATATGAGATTCCCTCCTACTATATTTGTGAAGAGCTCGTACTGTTCGGCGCACAGAAGTTACTGCAGCGACCTGGCTCAAAAAAATATGGCTGAATAGGAAACTGTTTAGTTTATTCGGTGATTGGAGCTAGGCACGCCGTACGTAGAGAAGGAAAGGAAATCGCTGGGTCGCTTCGGGCGATACGATATAAGGCATTTTATGATATTGCTTTGTCTGGCGACCTCCACATTGCCTAGTGCTTGCCTCGATGGTCTTCAAACAGAATTTCTATAAATTTTTATTTTTTATTATTATTATTATTATTATACTTATCATGTTTATTGACCTACTTAAAAAGTTGTAGATAATAGACTAATAGTTATAAAAGGTGATTCAAACGTAAAACTGATGATAGGAGTATCAGTAAGTAGGCAAAAACTTCAAACATTGTCAAGGAATGAATCTTTCGAACTTTTACAGTTACAGCGTTGGAGAACGGAGCAATATCTGACCCCGTCGTCCTATAATGCTTTACTTGCGTGAACATAGGCAAAAAATGACACCTGCCGATATTCAGTATTCTTAAAGTGCCAAATTAAACAGTATGTATCAGGGGCATATAGGAAATGCCTAAATAGAAACACATTTAGGGACATTAAACAAACAAAAAAAAGAAAGTCGATTGCTAACTGTAGCCTACGTTATCATTAGCAAAAACGGTGGCGCTATAGTGCATAATTACCATGCCGCTTCATATGCCTGTTGGAGAGATTCTACATAAGTCTAAGAAGACCTTCCGTTACTAGACATTCTAGTAGAAATAAGTTTTTGATGCTGTACCAAAGAAGATGATTCCGAAGACCTCTTACACACGGATCGCTGCATTGAAACATATTATTATTTCAATAATTAGGTATATCGTATTGTTGTACCTCTTGCGGACTAACCTCTGCTAATGAAGAAGCATATGTTTCCCAGAGAAAAGTTTTTCCTCGAATTATAAACTTAAATGCACGACTAACAGGACGAATTGGCACCGTTAACTCAACTGTGATTATTTGTCCGTTCAAGAAGCTTTTTGGACGCCTTGATACACCTTATATAGTTTGACGGGTGTAAGGACGGTTAAACTAGGCGTCAGAAGGAAGAAAATATGATAAGCAGGGGTAAAATATCTTTACACACAAGGCAAAACGAGTGTAATATAATTATTTACCATAAACATTTATCTATAAGACTTGTTCTGGTATTTATTTTTGATAAATCTCTCAAATTTCCTATAATTTTCATGGTTATGGAAATTCCAACGAAATTGTTGCGATCTTCAGCAAAGGTCTGGATAGACAAGATTGAATCCTTAATACAAAAACACCAGACCCTTACCGTATGCATACTAGATTAGAAGTGCAATTTCACAGCAGCCATAATTTGTTTTTCCTATACATAAGTACAGTTTGTTTTAATGGTCTTGTCATTTACTATGTCAATTTAGTAAAATATTGTACTCTCGTTTTTAAACGTTTTCGCCATTTCTTCGATAGTAGCAGTTTCCGATCTTCGAATATATCTTTAGTGATCCGCTTTAAATTTCGGGTTCTGATCTGGCAGTGCGAGGGTGGTACTATGAAATGGGGTGAGCGCCATGTTTTTAGATCAAACTTCTCTCTTTGTTTTCAATGCAAATTGATGCTGCTTACAAGCGTTTCTGCGATATTTCCGTATTCAGAATCGAGAAAATTTTTCGAGTAAGCGCGCGGTGAATCCTACCACAGAAGGCTGTGGTAGATCACTTTATTACATTCTAGGGCAGAGCGTTCGTATCCTATCGAGCAGGCCAACAATCTTCCTTCATGTGTATGTTTATATTGTCTAACTGATAACACCATCACTACCGTTATAGGGCAAGTATAGCGGACGCGTGTAGACGCAACTAGGCGTCTACATACTATATTTTTCCTCGTCTTCAATTTAGTTCGTTAATAGATATTTATAAATTGGGTGGGCAATACGTCAAAGAGCAGCTAAACGGGACGTATGCTTACTTGTGCTCATACTGAGTTTAACGGAGCCAGTATTAGAATTGATAAATGTATGGCGCTATAGGATTAAGTGAAACAGAACATAAATCCACTCGATCCAAATGTGTAATTTAGCTGAGTAAGTTCAACTAGTAACGTTTTGAGAACCCCTCTCGTTTTCCGCTTTTAGTATTAACTTGTCATATATAGAGCGCTTTATCCGTCAGCTTGATATTCGTATCGTCTGCTAGTCAAAAGAACGCAAGTATTGGCTCAGCCGATCAACACACAATTGATTGTGTTATAAAGGTAGCACAATAATGGCCGCAGTTATGTGCCGAAGTTCTCGTGCCCACCAGAGATTTCGTCAAATAGTAAATAGAATCGTCGATAATAGCATCTTTGTGAAATTCCCTTCTTCTCCAGTGTCCTGTCTCTGTGCCTACTGCAGAAAAAGATAAACTTGTTCGCTAACTCCGAACGTACCGGGTGCCGCAATGTGCGTAGAACGGTGAAGTGTCCTTTGCCTGTTACCATTACGATAGCTTTTTAAATTCATTCATGTTTATTTAGTACTGATTAGATAACGCACCAAAAAGACATTTCAGGCATTTACTAGCTGATCTAGTCACTGGTTGTGTCAGAATGTTGTTTGGTACAATTAATATCAGTCGAATAGTAAATAATATTTGACGGCCTTCCATGTTCTGAGCGTTTTTACCTGTTTTCAGCCCGTGACGAAGTGTACACACTCGCCATATTTGACAATCTAAAGTAAACGCCTAAAAAAGCAACAGGTAATACACAGACAAAACTCGTGCCAAGACAGCAGTGCCACCATGCTCAACGGCAGTACCGAATGTAAAGTTTAAAATATATATTTTAGCGAACCTAAACTACTGGCTAGATTTTATTATAATTTTATTCAAGATTACTTCTTAACATCCGTGAAAGATACGATGTCAATAAAGCGTTTACTTTATTCTTTTCTGTTGATTTTTATGCTGTTTTCCAATCAACGCTCATCCAGGCGTCGCTGCGAGAGTTGCTTATCCGTTTCGCTAGGCACTTAAAAGATGTCATCTCGATGCTTCGCGACCGACCCGCTTGCTAAGTTGCCTTGCGTCCTGTCAAGCGCGCACTATGGCTTCTCGATCCTCGAAGCCTTCCTTTGAAGCTTCACAGTGGCTTCTCGGATGTTAGGGTGCTTCCGTTCGCTGCAATCATTTCCTTCTCGATTCGGCACTCAATGCGGTCGGCTTTTTCAACAGACAAAGATCATTTTGTCTTTATCATCATGTTCTTTTTTCGTTTCGGGCAAGGTCTAGCGTCAGCGTTGTCTGATGGTGACGAATATTGTCCCATGTTTCTTTGCCTTGTTTCATCTGCTTTTTAAAGGTACTTTAGGTATTTCGAAAAATAGTAGAAAACTGGACGTCATGAAGCTCCATTCGCCAAACCACTATGGATATTCTATATGTAATGGTTGGTGAGAACTCATAGCCCGCGTAGCGTCCGTGAGGTATGAGGTCGGTCGGAGAGTAATTTCATTCTTTCAGCTTACCCTACAGGTTGTGCTAACTTTTGGGAGGAGATTAACCTCGCTTACTTGAGTTTTTGTGGGCTTCGTCCACTATTTTACTACACAGATGCTTCGGATAATAAACGAAGCACTCATGGAGGCAGTCGCTCGATAGACTCATTTTTGGACTTCTTTCTTTTATTCTGTATCGTTTATGCCATTATACTCCGATATAACAAGGTCTGGGTCATAAACCAGGCTTAAAATAACTTCCGTCCAGACTTTTCAGGTTACCAAAGGTCATACATAGAGCAGAGTGTGGTCATTCAATAGAATCGGCGTCCGCAAGCCTTTCCATCTCCATTTTCAACTAAGTTTAATGGGGCGAATCAAGCTGCGATCGACATTTACGATGTTTTTCCGGATCTTACAGTAAAGCGATTTTTTTAGGCCCCACCAGATCCTAGAAGTTGTCCATGTTCAGGCTTATAAATAGATGTTTCGAGTTTTGTACCGGGTATTGCTTCAGAAAGATGTCAAACCTTATCGGAAATTTGACTGCCTTTTGTTACACTAAAAGATTAAAGCAAAAATCTTTCTCGTTCCCAATTACCTGTAAAATGTGTTTTTTTTTTTCTATTGTGCAAACAAGTATTTGCATATTATCAAGTTGCAGACTACGGCACTTCCATCAAGAACCCACCTGTAATTGTTACCTGTAATGTACTAACTAGTGCGCGCAAACTATTCGTGGCAACCATGACATCAGCTTCTACCTGCGAAGAGGAATCTTGATTCATTTTTATTACTTCCGCAAAATGCGATAGGGCCTTCAACTCCTATACTACTTGTCCAACCAATGCAAATTACGGTTACCTATATCTATAAACAGTATACGTATAATAAAAGCATATGTAAATTTCTAAAAACGCTGAGAATATCCTATTAGAATAAAATACATATTAGAGGTACATTGGTTACTTGTTAACACAAAGCGTTGATGCATCAAAAAATGTTAATGCAAACATATTTTTAGTTATTAATTATAAATGTGCCCCCGGAAAGGGAGTCAGGTCTAAATCCTTCCATTTTAGAGGACAAGTATACCTGTTCATTTCTATTTCGTAAATTGACAAGCTTCTGTGTTGCAAGACTGACTTACCACGCTATCCTCCAGACGTTTCGCATCGCTTCTTATGTTATCTACTTTATTGGAAAGGCTTCTTTATTATATATTTATGATAAATCAATGCAGGATGCATGACTTTCGTAAATTAAAACAGCCCGAACGTTTATATTGAATGATCAAATGAATCTCAAGAAGTAGTAGTAGACGAGTCTTTAATAGGCACCTATCCATCTTCAATAATTCCTAAAATTTCAAATTTGAGTATCACGTGCTGGACGGCTGTTACGAAGTCGCACGGTTCCGTTTATCCTACAGCGCTACCGCTAAGTTGCACCGTGCCGATTGTGGCTACCTCTTTATCGGACAAGGCTTGCTTTGTAGAGCTTAACGCTATGCGCCAATACGAATGGCAACGGGTACCTGCTGGCGAGCTTCAAGAATACTATCCGCGGCTGCAGCTCGCGTATGACAAGTTTTATATTCGTGCAGACTAAACAGATCTTTCGCTCTCTTTGTCGCCAGCTGACGTTCGCTCACATCGCCCTTTGTCGTCCTTCTCTTCGCGCCAGGACAAACCATTAGTGTTGTCAAGCGTGTATAGCGCTCATTTGAGTGCCTCTCAGACTTTTTACCGACTTACAAACACAGCATTATTCCCCGAGTTCAAAAACATTTTGGACATTATAGCATTTGCCTGCGAGCTACGTGCAACAGGGAAGCTATAACGTGCATGACACGTCATGACGTCAATCACTGCTAGAAGGCAGGCGCGGATTCTTATGACGCGAGTCTTCACAAGAACAGCGTCGCCAGCCATTTATAATACTCGCGGTAGTTCCTATTAAGAAAACCGGCTAAACAGCGCCACCCGTAACGACAGCTGGGGCCATTTATTCGACTTGCTCCGATGTGCCAGCCAGGACGGCCAGTCAAGCAGATTGTTACAGAGCTAAGACAGCGATGCAGTACAGCAGGAGCTAAATAAAAAGACCATAGTCGGGGATGAATGAAACGGACTATTTGTAGCTATTCAGTATTATAAGGAACGGTTTTCAAGTATTTAGGTTGTGGCGTAAAGTTTGACGGAATTAGTCTTGTTCAACGGAACATTCCCATCGTCACCTACTCACGAGACTACTCGTCTGCTTTTTCCAACCCAGCTACTTCTGTTTTGATCTCAATCTCTCGGGAACAGATGGGGTATCGAATGCGAAATCCAAGACAGCTCCTTCACTACCTAAATGTTTTTCTTGTCAATGAGAGTTTGGGTATAGTATTACCTAACAATTAATTGTTGAATGTTATAGCAGTAACGAGTGTGGCTCACAAAGAGAAAGGCTCTACATTTACTTATAGAACACACTTTGCGTTCTGATCTATTATTGGGTGCCTAAAGAAAATTGGTCCTGTAATTGGTAATCAAATCTAACTGCAAATCCATATCAATAATCTCAATCGAAATTCAGCTAAATTCTAGTGCTAGGGCAAAATGTTTGTTAGGAAGAAAACTGACAGACACGAATATGTTATGAGAACTAAGAGTCTGACTCCCATAGAGGGCCGAAGCCATATATTTTTCGTCTGGCGACAGCACTCATGCTACGGCCATATAACAAAGTGCTTTCAACCTGTTGTAAGATCAAGCTAACGACAGCCGCCTGAAAATATCCACAATAAACTGGATAATCCGAAGAGTATATACATATATATCTTCTTATATTTCGACTGCTATTTATCTAAGGTCGGGAAGACGTCCTTCTCATAAATAAGTCACATTCGAAGGGCAGCCAGCAGAACCTTCATTTTGATCTAGTTATTAGCTTTCTCAAGCTATTGGTTGACCTCAACAGTTGGATAGGCATGTTTTTGAAAACAGTAGTACAACTTGTAGCTCGAAAAAGGTCTTGGCTTTCAGGCTATATCAGCTAAAAGTAAATAGTTGTTTACGGGTCATTTAGTAGAAACTTGCTGACCAAAAATATCGGTGACAGATGGAGCACTATATATGTATGCGTAACGTGCTCACTATTCTGGGCATTGTCGGCAGAGGTCCTTCTGAGCAGTGAACTCAAATAAGCTACTTTATATTGTTATGTAGGAATTTTATTAAGCTTCACAATAAAACTAGGAGATCATTGCTAAAACTTTCATATAATCCATCTAGTAAGGTAAGAAAAATCATCTAATAGTTGCCCCCAGAAACTGTTGTCGACATTTTTCTCGTACGTTGCTGGTAAAAAGTCCTAACGTGTTATTTATCGCACATTACCTTGTGCCTGCGATCCGTTGAGAAATGTTAGGCTGTAGAAAACGCATTGATCTTTAAACCCGAACTAAAGTAAGTATACTTTCTTTTGTTCGAAAATAAGACGGAACTAAATATGTGCCATTTTTGATCGATAATTTTCTTTGATTTTCAGTAAAACACCATAATCCCAACATTAAAACGAAATTCTACGCCTTCTAGATGAAAAATTGAGTAAAAATCATTTTTGCACTTCTCCATTGAGACTAAATTAACATCACTGAGGCCAAATTAAAGACAAAGGCAAAAGGAGACGTTCGTCTCATAGTGTAAGGTCCGGGCTGTATGACGGAGGCGTTGAAATTTTCCATTCAAGTCGTCGGGTAGCTGAAGATAAACTTACATGTCTGGTATTGTCATGATGAGGGACGACACTTTTTTCTGCCTACCAGTTCCGATCTATTTTCTTCAGTGACTTGTTGCACACTTAGTATTTGTTGATAGTAGGGGTCCGAGCCAATCGTTCTGCTAGACAGCAGCGACTCCTAGTCTCCAACCCCACCAAACACATAACATCTGCGTCATTGGCGTCAGTTTGAGCTTCGCGACAGATTATGGAGTACATTTTTTTGTTTTTATAACTTTGCACATTATTTACGTATGTGATTTATGTTTCGTCACATGTGATCAACACCTCGTTGCATTTTGGTACAGTTTCGTAGATGGAAAAAAAACACTATCGAGTAGATCCTTTTGCCCCAATTTGTGTGGCATCCAAATACTGAGCTCTTTCGTAGCGAGCTTTGTTCAAATGCCTTAAAACTATTTGGTAATGAATGCATAGTTCTTTCTTTTTGGCGATATTGCGGTTACTCAATTATCGATCCGCGCTCAACTTTTGCATACAGTTTGATGCGATAATGCATACTGACTGCAAACAGCACAAATTCTTTTGAACAATTCTTTTGACTTTATCGTAATAAAATTTTAAAATAAAGCCCTATCTTGCGGAAATTTATTCTATCTATCTTCGAGGAGTTCGATTTCAAGTCTAAACATTCTAAATAATTTAGCAGAGTTAGTACTCCTAATTCTCCACTTTCAAATGAGATACGTGACTTTAAACACATTTAGCTAGAAACATGGTTATAACTTTTCCATTTTTATATTTTGACGAATGAAAAAGCATCAATTCCCATCAGCCTCAAGGAACCCATGCGTAAGCTGGAAAATAATATGAACTTGAAAGGCACAAAGCGCTTCTGGTTTCTGAGAGAACACATGGCCCTAAGCAAAACAATAGCTACACCATGTTCTCAGCGGGCGATTTTCGAAGATTTGTGGCATAACGATGGTACTTGTCGACCCACTGGAAACTCACCCAAATGTCTGGTGACAGGTTTTTAATCTCTGTCGCTGTAATAGTTTAGAGGATAGCGTTTTTGTCTGGTTCTATTAGGAACACGCAGTACTGCCCGATCCGGATCTTGACGTATTATAGGCACCTTATTGCGCGCTCGGAGCCAGCAGTCTGACGGAATGCTAAATATCGATGCCAAACGTGTAAAACTCAAAAAATAACATATGTGTAATGTCTAATTCGATGGTCAAGTGGACAGCACCGTACGATACGCTGGTCTTCTCTGGATCGGAACAAACATCGGATAAGTCATCTTCAACCCGAATTCAACTTGAAATTAAAGAAAAATGAAAGACCAAACCTGTTTCTGGCGGATACGATCTTAGGGATATCGATGGATAGTATAATAATTTACCAAACGTTGCGTAGCAGAGAGTAGTATTATAGGAAAATTTATAGTATAAATAAAATAATGCTAGAACTTACCCGAATAATAATAACAGAGAATAATGCTAGAAGAACGAATCGAAAAAAATGCAAAGGTGGCGTAGGTAGGGTCATGTCGTCCGATTGTTCTTTTCTAACGGTCTATCAAAGTATCCGATTCTAAAACGATTGCAGCTTCTTTCACTAGACGCTATACGTACTGCGTAAAAGAGATTACAAACTGATTCTGAAACCATACGCGAACTCCTCAGCTAGCCATCACAGACTTTGACACGAAAGGTCTTTCAACTGGATCAACTTGACATTTAGTAGTCTGGTAGAACCCGCCGGACGAAGTAGGCGGTAGCGTAATGCCGGGGAACTGGTTCCAACGCTCGCAAACTGATGCGATCTAAAAATTTGCGAGTAAAAAAAATTATAACTCTTTCATTCTTTTAATTCCTTCAATTGTCCATACACCATTGTACCGGCCCCTAGCTATATCTATTCATGTTATGGTCAAGTCTGGTCTGTTTAATAGATTTCTAAAAATA